CATCTTCTAAGAATGAAGTTTAAATGTATGTTATCTTTACAAAAATGAAATAAATGTACACATTTATTGTATTAGGAATTTTGAGCTAGCAGTGCAGACAGCTATGTCAGCACGCCACCTAGTGTTTAAATTCATCTAATGATTAAAAACACGCATTGCTCAGACTTGTGTTCCTCCATGCAAACGAAAGAACATCAATTATTTAAAGAATAATTCAGAATAAGGAAAGAATAGAAATTACTTAAGTAACTACATTTGTAGACTTAATTTTATAATTTATCTTTCTATTTAGGGAAAATGGTTAATTAAAGGCTTAGGGGGCATGTGGAAAATATTGACCACCTCAGATAGACAAGGCTGGTGAAGGTAATTCTCTCAATGCAGTGGGTCATGATAGGTTAATGAAGCGTTGTGTTTGGAGTTTTTAGACCAATGGGAAAGGATTGTATCATTTTGAAAGATGGCATCCTTTCTATTTTAATTTTAAGGTATTTTCAAAATAACCACTAGAAAAGGAAATATAATATTTATTTGGGCCTGTGGGCTGTGTGCTAAGTCTTTTACAAATATTATCTCCGTTAATCTTTGTAAACCTCATAACATACTTTTTAGTTGCATGTCACAGATGGAACAGCTGAAGTAGAGATAGGTTAGGGAATGTGTCCAAAGACACGTAGTTGGCAAGAAGAATAATTCCCATTTGCCCCACTGTGTCAAACCCTAGACAACATTCTCTCCACATCTGTGAACACCACTGTGTGGAAAAGAATGTACCCCTTGGTTGCACATAGCTTGCTTTTATCTGCTACCTTCTCCCTGGTGTGTGCTTACAGAAAATGGAAGGACAGGAGCTGGGGAGGGAGAAGGACCTTGCATTTGGGGTTGACAACCTGGGGTCCGGACCTCATGGTCCTGCTCCCTTTACCGTGGAGACCCACCAAAGCCTCTTCATGTCTCCACACTCTGTGTTCTTCATCTGCAAAAATAAGAGCATTTGAGAAGATGATTTCAGAAGTTATTTCTTGGGTGAAAATCCTAAGATTCTGTTCTAGGGCATTCTAAATTCAAAATGAACCTCCTCCTAAGAGTCATGAGAAAATAAGGATGTTTTAGAGATCTTAAAACAAGGAGTGGCAGAGGAATTGCTCAGCCTTTGTAAGGAACTCTTTTGTGGACAAGTTTAAGTCTAATCTGGTTGCCCCTAATCACTTAGGAAAAAGATACCCTTGTTTAACAGCTAATATTAAGACAGCTATTTCTATTTCACTTAGCACTTTCAGATTGCTCCTTAGTAAAGACAATGCAACAGTATAGGTCCATTGAAATAAGTCAAACATGCATCATTTTTGATTTTTTTTTAGTTCCATAGGCTTTGAAGGAACAGGTGGTGTTTGGTTACGTGAGAAAGTTCTTCCGTGGTGATTTGTGAGATTCTGGTGCCTCCATCACCTGAGCAGTGTCGACTGCACTCAGTTTGTGGCCTTTTATCCCTCACCCCCTTCCCACCCTTTCCCCCAGAGTCCCCAGAATCCATTGTGTCATTCTTCTGCCTTTGTATCCTCATAGGTTACCTCCCACTTATGAGTGAGAACATACGACGTTTGGCTTTCCATTCCTGAGTGACTTCACTTAGTCTCTAAACCCATTCACGTTGCTGTGAATGCTATTAATTCATTCCTTTTCATGGCTGAGCAGTATTCCATTTTACATACATATACCACAGTCTCTTTACCCTCTCATTGAATGATGGGCATTTGGGCTGGTTCCACATTTTTGCAATTACAAATTGACGAACACACGTGATTATGTTACTCCTGGGGTTGCACCTTTGAAAGACGCTGATGGAGGGCAGAGGCGTCTCAAAGTGGGGCTTAGCCCACAAGGGTTCTTGGCTTGACCCAGGAAAGAATTCAAGGGCAAAGCAGAGGTAGAAGAAAATGGCTTTATTGAAGCGACAGTGTTATAGCTCTGTGACTGCTCCCACAGAACAGGGTACTCTGTAGATGGAGAGTAGCAGCTCAGGGCAGCTTTGGAGTCATATTTATATCCATTTATTTTTATTTGTATTTTTTTTTCTTGTTTGAGGCAGTGCCTCACTCTGTCACCCAGGCTGGGGTGCAATGGTACCATCTCAGCTCACTGCAACCTCCGCCTCCCGGGTTCAAGCAATTCTCCTGCCTTAGCCTCCTGAGTAGCTGAGACTACAGGTGCCCACCACCACACCCGTCTAATATTTTTGTATTTTTAATAGAGACAGGGTTTCACTATGTTGGTCAGGCTGGTCTCAAACTCCTGACCTCAAATGATCCGCCCGCCTTAGCCTCCCAAAGTGTATACCCATTTTTAATTGCATGAAGGCTAAGGGGCAGATCATGCAGAAATTTCTAGGGAAGCGATAGTTATCACTGAGTTATTGGGTCATTGGAAAGGGGTGGTAACTTCTGAGTTTTGCCATGGCAATGGTAAATTGACATGGCGTACTGGTGGGCATGTCTGACTGAAAGCAGCTCCTGTCCTCAGTCTGGTCTGGTGTCCAATCCCCACCTCCGGAGGCAATTTCCCCTCCTACTTCAACACCATAGGGTTGGTGTGCATGGAGATTTGGGGTTGGTATGGCTATGGCCCCAGTCCCAGCCCAGTAACACCTAAGCTGTGTTCTCCTGAGCAAGTTACAGAACATTTCTGAGTTCCAGATACTCTACTTGGTGTATAGGGCTGCAATGGGTTACATTACGGTCCTAAATCCTGGTATCTGTGCATGAGACTTTATTTATTTAATAGGTGGCTTCTAAAATCTGTATGACTAGAATCTCTCTATATAAGGAAAGAGCGAATTAAAGACACAGAGGGTAGACATTCATGTAATGACAAAAGCAGAGATTGGAGTGATGTGTCCACAAGCCAAGAAATTTCAAGGATTGCCAAGGACAGATTCTGCCCAGGGTCCCCCGGGAAGCACCTTGGTTTTTGAAGTTCTAGTCTCTCTGGGCGATCTCACACAAGTGTTTATACCTAAATCATGAGGCTGAGCTAAGAAGGAAATAAGAGACTTCATCAACGCTCTGGCACATTCTCGAGGCGGGGGGCAGGGGTGCAGGTCAAAGCAGTTGATGCCTACTTTGCTTTCTAGAACTTGACTGCTCATAAGACGTGATGTCTTAGCTGTTGCTGACATTTCCAGACTGCCAGGGGACCACTTGCTCTGTTACTCAGTGCTAGCATGTGTGAAAGGAACATATTTTGGGCCCCCCAAAACCACTAAGGAAAACTCAATCTGGAAACTGCTTAGGGTAAACCTGCCTCCCATTCTATTCAAAGTCATCCCTCTGCTCACTGAGACAGATGCATGTCTGATTGCCTCTTTTGGAGAGGCTAATCAGAAACTCAAGGAATGCAACCCTTGTGAGTCACCCACCTGTGACCTGAGGCTTCCTGCCTTTGCTTCAAGGTGTCCCGCCTTTCCAGACGAAACCAATGTACTTCTTACATATATTGATTGATTTCTTATGTCTCCCCAAATGTATAAAACCCACCGGGCCCTGGCCACCTTGGGCACTTCTCTTTAGGACCTCCTGAGGCTGTGTCATGGGCATGCCCTCAACTTTGGCAAAATAAACTTTCTAAATTAGCCGAGACCTGTCTCAGATTTTCTGGGTTCACACACGTTTTGCTGAATGGCTGCACCACTCTTGACTCCGTTTCTATCTATTGTTGACAAACACAAACCCTTTTGGTGGGTTAGCTGCCTCCTCATCACACAGGGCCTTATATTTAGAGCAAAGCAATGGAGTAGATGGCACAAGTGTCTGTAGGTGCTTGTTTTCTGGCACAGAAAGACATGTTTAGAAAATGGAAATTAAGCTTGGTGCAGTGGCTGATGCCTGTAATTCCAGCACTTTGGGAGGCTGAGACAGGAGAATCACTTGGGGACAGGAGTTTGAGATCAGCCTGGGCAACATAGCAAGACCCATTCTCCACAAAAGAATAAAAACAGCTGGGTGTGGTGGTATGTGTCTGCAGTGCCATCTATTCAGGAGGCTGAACTAGGAGGACTGCTATGGAGTCCAGGAGTTCAAGGATGCAGTGAGCTAGGATTGCGTCAGTGCACTCAGCTGCCAACATGAAAGACACAGTAACTATCTACACAGGAAGATCATGAGCTACTGACTTCTTCAGAGGCAACAAATGGTCATCGATGTTCATCACCACAGGAAGGCAACAGGACCTAAGACAGAAATTCAGGAAAAACTCGCCCAAATGGACAAGACCACAGAGGATGTCCTGGTTGGTTTGTTTTGTTTTGTTTTTCGTGTTTTATTTGTTTGTTTGAGAAATGGAGTCTTGCTCTGTCACCAAGGCTGGAGTGCAGTGGCACGATCTCGGCTCACTACAACATCTACCTCCCAAATTCAAGTGATTCTGTCTCAGCCTCCCAAGTAGCTGGGATTATGGCCATGTGTCACCACACCTGGCTAATTTTTGTATTTTTAGCAGAGATGGGGTTTCATGATGTTGGCCAGGCTGGTCTCGAACTCCTGGCCTCAAGTGATAAACCCACCTCAGCCTCCCAAAGTGCTGGGATTACAGGAATGAGCCCCCGCACCCAGCCAGGATGTCCTCTTTGTATTCATGTTCAGAACTCATTTTAGTGGTGGCAAGACAACTGGTTTTGGCATGATTAAAAATTTTGGATTATGCAAGGAACAATGAGCCCAAACATGGACTTGCAAGACACAGCCCATATGAGAAGAAAAAGACCTCAAGGAAAGAACAGAGTAAAGAAAGTCAGGACATTGGTGGTACTGGTGACGGGCAAGGTGGGGATTAGGTGAAGAACAGAAGAAGTAGCAATTCTGCAGTGAGGTGATCAGCAGCCATCCTGTGGATTTTTACAAGAGAATTAATAAATTACAAACTTTCAGGAAATAAAACAAATTTCGATCAACATTTATCCACAGGAAAAAAAGTTAGCAGCAAGTGGAATAAGCAGTGTGCCTTTCATAATCTGGAGTGGTAGATGAATTTATTGGCTCTTAAATGCACTCCCTGCAAACTTGAAGGCACCAAAGTTACTGACCTTTGGTAACCTGATTGTAATTATGTCTTCTCCTTAGCATTGGAGCTAAGAGAGTTCCCCTTCCTTGTCACACAGACAAAATGGGAACACCCCACAGCAAGGAGTCAGCCACTTCCTGGCCTGATTCAGTTTTGCGAGTTGGTAGGTCACGGGCACGATGGTTTCCTGGTGTTCCTTCAGGGCGGTGGCCACCTTTTTAATCACAACATCGTAGAGGGGCTCTGTGTCAGGTGTCAGGGGTGTGGACTCCGAGGGGTCCCTGGAGAGATCGAAGAGCAGAGGGGGGTTGTGATAGGTAACCTGTTCTCCGAAACATTGGCATAATGAGGTGACATAGCAGCCACCAGAAGATGGTGGTTGGAATATCGGGGTCACGTAGTGAGCCTTCCAAACTGCGCCACCTGGAGGAGAAAAGAAAGATTTGTTAAATGATGCACATTTCAGCCAAATCAAAGGAAGAAGTTCTAGTGCTTTACAGCAGGGGTCCCCAATCCCCAGGCCACGGACTGGTACCTGTTCGTGGCCTGTTAAGAACCGGGTCACGCAGCAAGAGGTGAATGGTGGGGTGAGAGAGTGAAGCTTCATCTGTATTGACAGCCATGGCTTGCATCACTGGCTGAGCTCTGCCTTCTGTCAGATCAGGCGCGGCATTAGATTCTCATAAGAGCACGAACTCCGTTGTAAACTGCACGTGCGTGGGAGAGATCTAGTCTGCACACTCCTTATGAGAATCTAATGCCTGATGATCTGTCACTGTCTCCTATCACCCCAGATGGGACCGCTTAGCTGCAGGAAGGCAAGCTGAGGGCTCCCATGGATTCTACATGATGATGAGTTGCAGAATCATTTCATTATATAATACAACGAAACAATAATAGTCATGCACTTGAATCATTCTGATGCCATCCCCCATCCCAGCCTGCAGAAAAATTGTCTTCCACAAAACTGGTCTCTGGTGCCAAAAAAAGTTAGGGACCCCTGTTCTAACACTGTAGAATGACTATAGCTAACAATAATAAGTTACATAGGTACAAGCAGCTAGAAGGCGGCTAGTCAATGTTCCCAACACAAAGAGATGATGCATGTTTGAGATGATGGATGTGCCAATTATTCGAATCTGATCGCTATGCATTGCGTATCTCAAAACATCACTACATACCCTCATTTTCATGTGCAATATGTGCATATTATTATGTATGTGTCAATTTTTAAAAATTAAAAATTACAAAAAAACACTTATAAGTTCTGGGTCATAGACTCATGTTCTTCTAGCACTTTTAATCTTAAATATTATCTTTAGTCTGCCTAGAATTGATTTTTATACATGAAAGTTTAACCATGACCACTTATGCCTACAAAATAACCTGCCTTTAGAAGATATTCAGTAAGTGCTTTTTTTTATCTCCAAAAAAAAAAAGAAAGCAAAGCACATCAGAGACATGCACCCAAAGTACTGACTGCTCTTGTCTTCTTCTGTCTTCTCAAGTCTGTTTCTTGTGTTTCCTTCTGCCCACAGGTCAATGTTAAATATTATGCAATCCTTACAACAAAATGAGAACGTTAGAGTCCCCTGGGAAAATGATCCACACACTTTCCAGCAGATATCAGTCCTGTCTCTAAAAATGTATGTATATATATTTTGGTTTTGTTTTTGTTTGAGACAGAGTCTCGCTCTGTCAGCCAGACTGGAGAGTAATAGTGTGATTTCAGCTCACTGCAACCTCTGCCTCCCGTGTTCAAGCAATTCTCCTGCCTCCGCCTCCCGAGTAGCTGGGACTACAGGAGTGCATCAGCACATCCAGCTAATTTTTGTATTTTTAGTAGAGACGGGGTTTCACCATGTTGGCCAGGCTGGTCTCGAACTCCTGGCCTCAAGTGATCTGCCTGCCTCGGCCTCCCAAAGTGCTGGGATTATAGGCATGAGCCACCATAACCGGCTAAAAATGTCTGTTTCTTAAAAGTGTCTCCCTGACTTTTTGGGTAAATTTTATGTCCATGGAATTATTTTATACATATCTTTTCTTTATTAAGGTGCCATTGAGAAGTAAAAAGTGTATAGATTTTCCATGCACAACGTGAAGTTTTCATGTATGTGCATCTGCTGAGATAATTAGATGAAACCAATTAGTATCTCCATTACCCCCGCCTGCCTTTCTGCAAAAGATCAATTCTGAGAAACTTTTCCAAAAACATGTGTTCAGTGATAGCCCTGGAATGAAATGACTGGTCTAGGGAGTAGAGGAATAGCATGATCGGGATACACCTGCGTGACCCTGCTCCTGGCAGGAACAGGAAGGCACGGGCTGAGCACTCACTGTCGTCCTTGGGGATCCACCGCACGGCATGCAGGTAGGAGCTGCAGTAGTGGAACAGAAACTCATGTTCCGAGTGCCTGATGTTGCCCTGCAGCAAGGGCATGAGGTCTCTGCCGTCAATGACCCTGCAGAGACACAGACAGTGCAGGTAAGGAGAAGTAGGAGAAGGGACGCTGGCTCCCAGGCCGCCTGAAGGGTACTGGGTGCAGACGGTGCCATGCCTCAGGTCCAGAGGACAGCGTGCTGAGTCTTCAGGAGAACTCATGCGTGTTCTCTGGGAGATGACACTCAAGTGTGCAAGACAAGAAAGCTAAGCTTTGATCGTGAAATGTTGAGACCCAGGAGTGTGACAATGCATGCTTCAAAGGCGAAAAGATCACATCTCCTTGGTTGTGACACAGAGGCTCTCCACAGCTCAGCAGTTGGTGGCAGTTTCATAAATCTGAACTTCATTTGCAATTGTATTGCTACCCTTTGAAAAAGAAATCGCTAAAAAGTCATATACGTCTAATTTTATATGAGAAATGGAGTAAACAGACGGAGAAACAGAAAACCAAACACGATGTTCTCACTTACAAGTGGGAGCTAAATATTGGGTACACATGAAGAGAAAGATGGGAGCATTAGACTCTGGGGGCCCCACGAAGGGGGAGGGAGGGAGAAGGAGGGGTTGAAAAACTACCTGCTGGGTACTATGTTCACTATCTGAATAACTAACGAGTTTCATAGAAACCTCAGCATCACACAAACAACCACGTAACAAACCTGCACATGGGCCCCTGAATCTAAACTAAAATGAATTTTAAAATTTCGCATTAGAAAATATATCTTGTGCCTTATATTAGAAAGTAATAATAATAAAACCTGCTTTGTAAAGAAACACATAATAATACATCCCAGATAAGTATTATTATTTTTTTTTGGAGACGAAGTTTTGCTCTTGTCACCCAAGCTGGAGTGCAGTGGCACAGTCTTGGCTCACCGCAACCTCTTGCTCCCAGGTTCAAGCGACTCTCCTGCCTCAGCCTCCTGTGTAGCTGCGATTACAGGCGTGTGCCATCATGCCTGGCTAATTTTGTATTTTTAGCAGAGACCACGTTGATCAGGCCAGTCTCGAACTCCTGACCTCAGGTGATCTGTCTACCTCGACTTCCCAAAGTGCTGTGAATACAGGCGTGAGCCACTGCGCCTGGCCTAAAAATGATTTTTAAAGAAATAAAATTATATTTACTATCAGATACAATGATTTCCTATATTAATTACCACCAAAAACCTACCGGAAATAATAAGATTAGCAAGATCACACAATACAACACCAACTTTTAAAAATGCCTATATATTTGCAGCTAATGGCTGGGAATGACATTATTTAAAAAGTATCATGTACCATAACATGAGAAAGCATGAAGTATTTAGAGATAGCATTTTTTTTTCTTTTTTCTTTTTTTTTTTTTTTTTTGAGATGGAGCCTCACTCTGTCAGCCAGGCTGGAGAGCAGTGGCACGATCTCGGCTCACTGCAACCTCTGCCTCCTAGGTTCTTGCAATTCTCCTGCCTCATCCTCCAGAGCAGCTGGAACTACAGGCGCATGCCACCACGCCCAGCTAATTTTTTGTATGTTAGTAGAGACAGGGTTTCACTGTGTTGCCCAGGCTAGTCTCGAACTCCTGAGCTCAGGCAATCCACCCGCTTTGGCCTCCCAAAGTGCTGGGATTACAGGTGTGAACCACCACGCCCGGCCAGGGAGAGCATTTTTATGTGAAAATTTTGTATGAGAAAAGCCACAAAGCACCTAATAAGAGGAATAAATGAAGAAATGAACAATATATTTACTGAATGGAAGATTCAAATTTTTTTAAGACATATATTTTCTGCAAATTGATCTATAGATTTAATGCAATCTCAGTCACAATTCCAGAAAGGTCTATGTTGAAATGAAGAAACTTATTCTAAAATACACATGGGAAAATAAAGATCCTAAAATGGTTTAAAATTTTTTTAAGAAGAAAATAGTTTGAAGACTCACTTCATAATTCCCAAATTTACTATAAAGTAATTGAGTAATTGAGTAATTGAGACAGTGTAGTATTCATATAAGGGTTTCAATGAATCAGTGCAATAGGAGAGTCCAGGAATTGACCAATACGTATATTGTTTTGTGACAAATGCTCAAAATAATTCAGTCTTTCAATAAATGACAGTAGAAAAATTGGATATCCAAATGCAAGGAAAATAAATCCCAACCTATACCTGAAACCACATGAAAAAATTAACTCAATGTGGACCATAAACCTAAATGTAAACCCAAAACTAGAAAACTTCTAAATGAAGACACTGGAGAAAATCACTATGATCTTTTGATAAGAAAATATTTTTTAAGTTTTACCACAAAAATCAGAAGTTATAAAAGAAAAAAGGATAAATTAGCTACTATCGAAATGTAAGACTTCTGCTTTCCAAATGTCAATGTCAAGAAACATGTGCCTTCAGTCCATTAGTGGGGAATAGGAAGAAAGGAAAAGAAATCAAAATATTAAATACTAATAAAAAAAATTTAAAGCATTAGGACAAATACCTAACATATGTGAGTCTTAATATCTAGATGATGGGTTGATAGGTGCAGCAAACCACACATGTATACCTATGTAACAAACCTGCAAGTTCAGTACATGTATCCCAGAACTTAAAGTAAAATTAAAAAAGAAAACGTTTAAAAGAAAAGAAAAAGACAAGCCAAGGAAGAAAATAATCATCCCTCTGTATCCAGAGGTTCTTTTTTTTTTTTTTGAGGGAGAGTCTCACTCTGTCGCCCAGGCTGCAGTGCAAGTGGCGTGATCTTGACTCACTGCAATCTCTGCCTCCTGAGTTCAAGCCATTCTCATGCTTTGGCCTCCCAAGTAGCTGGAATTACATATGCCTGCCACCATGTCCAGCTAATTGTTGTATTTTCAGTAGAGATGGGGTTTCGCCATGTTGGCCAGGCTGGTCTGGAACTCCTGAGCTCAAGTGATCCGTCCACCTTGGCCTCCCAAAGTGCTGGGATTACAGGCGTGAGCCACTGCTCCAGGTTCAAAGGTTCTGCATCTGTGAATTCAGTCAACTGCAGATCAAAAATAGTTCATAGGATTTTCTCCTATTTTTTCACCTAGAAGTTGTATAGCTTCAGGATTACATTTAGGCTTATGGTCCAAATCGAGTTAATTTTCTAATGTGGTGTCAGGTATAGGTTGAGATTTATTTTTCTTGCATTAGATGCCCAGTTGTTCTAGCGTCATGTATTGAAAGACAGTTCTATCTCTACGGAATTATTCTGGGCATTTGGCGAAAAGCAGTATATACATATTGATCAATTTCTGGACTCCCCTATCCCATTGACCTGTTGAAACCCTTATGTCAACATGACACCATCTTGATTACTCTAGCTTTATAGTACATTTTGGAATTATGTAGTGAGTCTTCAAACTATTTTCTTCTTCAAAAAATTTTAGGATATTTTTGGTTCTTTATTCTAGAAAACCCTATGAAATATTTTTGATCGCAGTTGATTGAATTTGCAGATGCAGAAACTTTGGATACAGAGGTATGACTATTTTCTTCTACTCCATTGGCTTTTATAGTATTAGCATCCTTCATTTCTGTACAGGTGAGAGCCGCTTTTGAGTTCTTCTTGTTGATTTCGTTGTGTCAGAGACTGAAGGAGACAGGAGACAGGTGTCCACAGGCCCTCACTCTGCTGGTGTCATAGACAGTGAATCTGATACTGTAAATTTGCTGTTTGTTCTTTTCTACATAGTAGAGCTATTCTCTATTAGCAAGGACATATTTAACGGGTCAGCGCACATGCCAGCAACGTCATAAATTCAAATAAAGAGGCTTGGGAGAACCGAGTGTAGAAATAACCAAAAAATCAACCTGATGAGTAGTACCCGGCACACCAACCTGTGTGTGAAGCTGAGGTTAGGTCTCCCACCACAATGCCTTAGTCATTTTCATGATTTTCTTCCACTTCCTATTTAACTACAAAGATGGCACATCCTCTGAGAACTTAGCCTGTGGCTAGTGGAGTCATGGTTGCAGGCAGGAAAGGACCGCTGTACTATACATCTTACGGAGGACAACAAACTCATAACCCTCATTTGGTTAGGGAACCAAATGAGCGTGTAATCTCATGGAGCAGAATGCACTGGAGTGGTGAGTGAATCCTGATCGACTCATTCTTCTTTTTAAGGTCAGCACAATGGCTGGAGCTCGGCAGCAGTTGCCCTCCACCTTCACGCAATGTAACAAGATTGTGCCTGGACATCTCCCTTCTCCCTAACAGGCTGTTGGGCCATGTGGAGCGACAGACTTCTTCAAACAACTATTTCTAAATGGTAGAACAGGGAAGCTGGGGCTTCTCCATAGGTTTTTTTTTTTTTTTTGATAGGTTCTTTTTGCAATAACCTCACAGTGATTTTTAAAATATTTTTGGGGAGGCTAGGCATGATGTCTCATGCCTGTAAATCTCAATACTTTGAGAAGCCAAGGAGGGAGGATCACTTGAGGTCAGGAGTTCAAGACAAGCCTGGTCAACATGGTGAAAACCCATCTCTACAAGAAATGCAAAAATTATCCAGGCGTGGTGGTGGGTGCCTGTAGTCCCAGCTACTTGAGAGGCTGAGGTATGAGAATGACTTGAACCAGGGAGGCAGAGGTTGCAGGGAGCTGAGATTGTGCCACTGCACTCCAGCCTGGGCAACAGACTGAGACTCCGTCTCAAAAATAAAATAAATAAAAATAAAAAATAAAACATTTCTTTCCTGTGTTCGCATCATCAATGCCTAACTTCTTTTCAGGCAGAAAATAAAAGGATCTTTATCTAATGTTGAGTCCCTAAAATTATAAAATAAATTCCAGCCTTAGTGCATTGATGCAAATATCTACTAGCATCAAACATTTTTTTTTTAAATATTAGAAAGGCAAATTTGGGGGGGGTGCCTTAATTAGTTCTCCATAGTTTGTTTTTCAGTAAGTAACCATGACTTCTAAAATATTTTTCTTTCTGTATTAGTACCATCTGTATCTAGCTTTTGCTTTTGGAGACGGAAGGGAGAAAATATAAAAATTTATCACAAAAATTTTTGAAAAATATAAAATATAGTCTTAGTTTCTTTGTCTTATATTTTAAAACTGTCTTTCACCCTGGTCAATATTTTTTTTGGTCTTTATATGAATAATTAAGTAGCAGCAAAAACACACAGGTTTTTTATCTGTAATAAAATACACTGGTTTTCTCTACGAATCCAAAGTAATTGCCTTCACTGGCTAAAACCGTCTAAGCTTCCTTTGCTGGATAGGGGCAACCTTCTTTTTCTTATGAGCTTTGACACATCTGACAGATCTGCTTTTTTCTTGATATAATAAAAACTTCTAGAGACTTCCAGCAAAATGGAGTGACTTGCAGTTTCAGCAAAGCATTCACATCTTCTAGAATCTTCTAGAATCATTGCAGTGATTCACCTTTGTTTCCCATCGAAGTGTGAAGTCAAATGCAGAGGGAATGGGAATGAAGATGTAATATTTTTAGAGCTTATTCTGACAAAATCAAAATCAAATTCTTTCCTTTTTTTGGGAGACAGGGTCTCATTCTGTTGCCCATGGTGGAGTGCAGTGGCAGGAGCATAGCTCACTGAAGCCTTGACCTTCCCAGACTTAAGCAATCCTCCCACTTCAGCCTCTTGAGTAGCTGGTACTACAGGTATGCACCACTATGCCTGGATAGTTTTTGTATTTTTTTTGTAGAAAAGGGGTTTCACCATGTTGCTCAGGCTGTTCTCAAGCTCCTGAGCTCAAGGAATCCACCTGCCTCAGCCTCCCAAAGTGCTGGCATTATAGGTGTGAGCCACTGTGCCTGGCCTAAAAATCAAATAATCCCTATGAAGGCAAATCCTAATCGGCATCCACAGACCAATATTCCATGAGATTGAGATTCTCCTCAGCACTTTGTAAGTCCAAATATAGTCTATACCAATATCCCAAACTCAGCGCATTTCACTCACATCTTGGAAAATTATTTTTATGATTATGATTGGCTTAGTAACTTAAAAAATTGGCATCAGCGCTAAACTATTATATAAGTATATGGAAATGTATTATTTAGTTCAAACTGATGAATACTCTTTTTTCAAAGTAGAAGGAATCTTTATTCTGTTATTATTTTACATAAATTCTCAATAAATTCCCTTACTGGCTAAAGCAAGTAAGAAAAGGGGGGGTGCCAATTGTGGTGGTTCATGCCTGTAAACCCAGCACTTTGGGAGGTTGAGGCAGGAGGATTGCTGGAGGCCAGGGGCTAGAGACCAGCCTGGGAGACATATCAAGACCCCATTCCTACAAAAATGAAAAAACCGATCAGGTGTGGTGGTGCATGCCCATGGTCCCAGCTGCTCAGAAGGCTGAGGTGGTAGGATCTCTTGAGCCTAAGAGATAGAGGTTGTAGTGAGATATGACTGTACCACTGCACTCCAGTCTGGGCAACAGAGCAAGAACTTGCTCATATATATATATATATATATACACACACACACACATATATACATATACACACATATATATACATTATACACATATGTATATATATACACACACACATATATATTAGCCTATGGCTAGTGGAATCATGGTAGCAGGCAGGAAAGGATAGCTGTACTATACATCTTATTTTATATACACACACACACACACATATATATATATATGGGGGATCTTTTTTGTTTTTAATTAACATTGAAATTTTTTTTTTTTTGAGACGGAGTTTCGCTCTTGTTACCCAGGCTGGAGTGCAATGGCGTGATCTCGGCTCACCGCAACCTCCGCCTCCCGGGTTCAGGCAATTCTCCTGCCTCAGCCTCCTGAGTCTCTGGGATTACAGGCACGCGCCACCATGCCCAGCTAATTTTTTGTATTTTTAGTAGAGACAGGGTTTCACCATGTTGACCAGGATGGTCTCGATCTTTTGACCTCATGATCCGCCCACCTCGGCCTCCCACAGTGCTGGGATTACAGGCGTGAGCCACCGCGCCCGGCCAACATTGAAATTTATCCTATTTTTCTTCAGAAATAGATTAGCTTTGTTACATGAAGAAATAACTATTACAAGAACTCTGTGGGCTTGGAGGAGAGACGTAGTTGTGTCTGACCTGCCTGGCCTCCCTTGCAGAGCTGTACCCAATGAACTATCAATAAATCGGCAGCAAACCTGTCTAGGTTTGCTGCTGCCGGGGAATGGTGCAATGTAGTATGAAGAATCTTCTCTTGATGAAATTCAAAGTATTCATGATAGAGTTCAAAGCACTCTCAAACATCTTACCTTCTTCACAGTCTTCCAGATCTTTCACACCAGAGACTAGGATTATTTTCCCCTTTCTTACGGAGATGAGTGAGTTTTACCTACCATGCCTTCATCTCCAAAGCTTCCTGTCTCCATCTTTCTCCCAGCTGAAAATGTTAAAGTATCTAAGATGGGCCACATTAGATTCGTATCTAAGACTGGTCTCTGACAATATGGATGTTCCTCAGAAAACCAAAAATGGAGCTACCATGTGATCCAGAAATCCAACTACTTGGTACCTACCCAAAAGAAAAGAAATCAACAGATCAAAGGGATATCTGCATTTCCATGTTTATCACGGCACTCTTCACAATAGCCAAGCTATGGAATCAACCTAAGTGCCCACTGGCAGACAAATTCATTTTTTTGAAAGTGTTATATATACACAAGGGAATACTATTCACTCCTAAAAAAGAAAGAATTCCTGTCATTTGCAGCAATATGAATGGAACTGATGGCCGTTATGTTAAGTGAAATAAGCCAAGGCCAGAAGAAAGCAAACATCACATCTTCTCACTCAATGTGGGAGCTAAAAAAAAATACTAAATCTTAGGAAGATAGAAAGCAGATTAGTGATGACCAGAGGTCAGGAAGGGGAGAGATGAGAGGACGATGAAGGGAAAAAAGAACATAAATATGTTTATTACCACTGAACTGTATCCTGAAAAATGGTAAAGATGGTAAATTATATATGTATATTTTATCTCAATAGAAAAAAAGAAAAGTCTGGTCTCTGGCTTATGAAGGATGCTGAATAGACACAGTCATATGTGAAGGTAAAACTGTGTACGCTTTAGGGAAAAAGTGAGTCTGCCAGGATAGAGTCAGTCTCCTTGTTCTGAATCTTCTGAGAAGGAAGAAGAGTGAAAAGTTGTTGTTAACAGTTTATATGACATCACCTGTCCTGAGGGGGACTTCCTCCTGACACTGATGCGAGAGTTGGTAAAATATCCATCAAACTTGTAGCTTCCTTAATTAACTGTCCAGCTGGTATCTTTCCAGGCCATCGAACAATTCCTGGGACGCGGATTCCACCTTCCCAGCCCCCCATGCCTTTTCCACCTACAAGACAATGCAATTACATCCAATTATTGTGGCTAAACTAGTCACTGCATGGAATGTATTTAAAATGTAAGCTAGTATCAAAAGAGATCACATTTGTATAGTGTCTACTGTTTGTAGAGTACTGGTGGGGTAAGTAGTGCACATCCACAGAATTATATTTTCCTGTGCTGCTGATAGGTTTTTGATTAAATAACTAAACATATGTAATCTTGGACATTTACACTCTATTCGCATGGCAATTTTCTCTACTTAAAATATTCTTTTATCAAATATACATCTACTTCATTTACAATCTCCCTCATACCGTTGCTCAAAGTAACTTCCTATATTTTTTTGAATTAACATTTTTTCTTGTATCCAGCCCCCGAGGTTATGGAGCTCACAGTAACCTCAACGAGGCATGCCTGAATATTTAATCTCATACAGCAGCCCCAACCCAGAATTCTTTATTCTCATGTTTTTTCATATTTACTGCCACTTTCTAATATATCACATTATTTATTTATTTTATTTTCTGGTGTGCCTCCCTCCAGTAGGATATAAACTCTGTGAAGACAAGGATTCCTGCCTGTTTTTCTCATTGTTGATCCCAACACCCCGAAAATAAATGGAATACTATGGGCATATGATAATTTGTTGTCCACATCAAGGTATTATTGAGAATAAAAGCAGAAAGTTGTCTTAATTATACCAAGATGACAGGCATACACCAGGATTTCCAGGGGGAAATTAGAAGAGACCACCTTCCTGTGTTAATGGACTCATTTTATTAAATTAATCAGAGTAGAGTTTACATTATGTCATGGTGTGCTGAAAAATTAAAAATTTTTAAAAATAGCTCTCATAAGCAAACATAGAATGTCTTAACATGCACACACATGTTTACAGCACCACAATTCTCAGTTCCAAAGATATGGAACCAGACTAAATACCCATCAACCAACAGGTGGATAAAGAAAATGTGGTGCTTGTACATCATGGAATTCTACTCAACTGTAAAAAGAAATGAAATAATGTCTATTGCAGTAACTTGGATGGAGCTGGAGGCCATTATTCTGAGTGAAGTAACTCAGGATTGGAAAACCAAATGTCCTATGTTCTCACTTGTAAGTAGGAGCTAAGCTACAAGAATGCAAAGCCATAAGAATGATATAATGGGCTCTGGGGACTTTGGGGGATGATTGAGAGGGGGCTGAGAAAAAACAACACTACATATTGGGTACAGCGTACATACTCGGGTGATGGGTGCACTAAAATCTCAGAAATCACCACTAAAGAACTTACCCATGTAACAAAAAACCACATGTATCCCCAAAGCTATTAAATTATTTTTTTTTAAATAGAATGTCTATAACAACAATTTCCACTAAGGATTTGTTTTGGGTCCTAAATGCACATTTCAGTGGTACAGGCTCTAAGAGCACACATTCACACCCTCTGCAAGATGGAGGCAGGGCCTTTACCTCATTCATATGGAAATTATAATTTCCTACTGAATCCAAGACTGTGGAATCTGTAGTTACATGAATAACAATATATTTTCCTCTAGAAATTAAATCTCTCCCAAGACATATGATAAAACATACTTGACATTTTCCAAATAATTTTTTTTTTCTTTTCCTTTTTTTAATCCTTATTTCATAGATGAAAATAATATTCTTATAACATCAGGCTACATGTTATAGAGCTGGCCAATGTAGTAGCTTATGGACCTATTTTGTGGACTAAATGTTACACCCAGACATAAAATCAGTATATGTGAATTTAATAGTAAAACCCAAGATGGGCTTGGCCACTTTCTGTGCTATACTATATCCTTGGAAGAGAGCATCAAAGTCTTCTTAACAGTGAAGGATCCCTGGTTTCTGATCTCTGTTCTCTGGGAACCACATGCTCCCTTATTTAATCTCTCAATAGTCTCATAAATGGAATTAATAAGTAGATATCCCTTTAAAATCCTCGTAAAGGCATCTGCTTGTGCTAACTCCTCATAATTTTGTAGGGTTGTCAGAAAGGCATATTTCTAGATGCTCCCTCTACATACATGGCTTCTTTCCGCAGAAACGTTAACAAATAGAAGACCAATTTTCTTGACCTTGGTTCAATACTTCATTTTACTAAGAGTCAAATTAAACAAACTCATTCAGTTTTTCATGCCTCATTCCTTTGTGTCGTGGGCTTTAATTATAACAACCATCAAAAAGCTTATTCACCACCAGATCACATGCATGAGTTGCTCTCCTCACCTTTGTATATTCCGTTCCATCCACCAAGTTGGGCATGCCCTCGCCTAGCCTCCAAATGCCCTCCGTGGTCTGATGTAAAGTAGACGAGGGTGTCGTTCCTTAGGCCAAACTCATCTATAGCATCAAGAATCTTGCCTAAAATAATATAAAAGAGACAAGTAAAAATAATGACACTATGAAATATTTCACCCCTAAGTCAAATGGGCATGAGCTATCTAAAGGAAAACAAGCATGGTGTGACCCTTACTATGTCAAAAGCCACAAAAGAAAAGGAATGTGTATTAACAGTTTAAATTGACAAACCATTGAAAGAGAAAAAAACTGAGAGGCTGGGCCGATGACTCACACCTGTAATTGCAGCTCTTGGGAGGCTGAGGCGGGTGAATCATGAGGTCAGGAGTTTAAGACCAGTCTGGTCAAGATGGTGAAACCCCATCTCTACTAAAAACACAAAAATTAGCTGGGTGTGATGGCACATGCCTGTAATCCCAGCTACTCAGGAAGCTGAGGCAAATAATTGCTTAAACCCAGGAGATGGAGGTTGCAGTGAGCAGAGATTGCACCACTGCACTGCAGCCTGGGTGGCAGAGCAAGACTCCATCTCAAAAACAAACAAACAAACAAAATAAAACAACAAAAAAAATCAGAGTCCAAAATCTGTAAGAAATAAAAGATGAACTGCTTTAAGAAAAAATTATGGCAATACAAATGAACATCAGTTGCTACTAATATCAATTAAAAGTGCAAATTCTCCTTGATCATTTCCTTCATGCAGAATAAAAATATTAAACAGAGAAATCCCTTTTTTCCCACTGGATATGAAAAGGAGGACCGTGGTGGCATTCTGACTGATGTGTCTCTGCTCACAGAAAGCAAACATTGTTACAGAGTTTGGGGAGACAGAGGCAGGAATAACATACTCCCACTGTTGGGTTCACACAATTGATTTGATATATCCTTGCAGATGATTTAGGTAAGTAATTCTTTAACCATTTTCACTTCCCTTCGTATTTGTTATTTTAAATAGAGAATAGGATAACTGGATGGGGAGAATTAGATTCAATGGGCAAGTTAAAAGAGGAGGAACATACTCAAAATAAACCACATTTCCAATCATTTTTATAAGAAAATAGCCAAATTCCTACAGTTCCCAAACCCAGTCTGTATTATGCATAATTATGGAAAAACTCATTAGTCGCAAATGTGTCTAATTCTGTGTGTTCCCCTGTTGGTTATCTCAGATAACATTACATTAACATTCCTAAAGTACTATATCTTAGAAATTTTCTAGAGCCAAGACACACAGGTAAGGACAAGACTAAGAAAGAATTTATATTTTTAAATACTTCAAAAAAATTACCACCATACTTTTAGCAAAAATCACATGGAAAATTGAGCCAAGAGAAAATGATCAATGGATGCTAAACCTGGCACTGAAAGTTTGATAAGAACCAAGACATTGGCTTCCTCTCAAAGTATCTCCCATAAAATAGTTAATAATTTCAAATTAATAAGTAATGAGAAAATAAGTAACTTTACAGTGGAGAAAACTGGAAGATACCACTTAATCAAATGATAAGTGTTTAACCATTGTACTGTTGTTCACTATTTTGGTTAATTTCCCTACTTCGCCATAATTTAAAATGCCATCATGAACAACTTTGGCATTAAAGTAGTTCATTTTCTCAATCCTCATTAGTGTCTAATGTTTGATCGGTGATTATGGTAAATTATGACATTTGTACTTTTAATCTGTAAAAGATGTTTAGCTTTTGCTGATATTTTTGGGAGGAATTATGTGTTTCCATTATTGATATATAAGAACTCTTTATTTGTTAAGGAGTTAAAACAATGCCATGTTGTTGCTAATTTCTCCTCAGTTTGCAAAGGGCCTTTAGTCATGCTATTTATCACATAACCTTTTTCTATCTAACACTATACCTCAACTAGATGTAAATTTACTGTTTATAGCTTCTTCTAGTTTTTGTTTTGTTTCATTCAATGTCCTTGATGTGTATGGAAAAGCATGCTAGCTGAATTAGTAATGGTTTTTCCTAAACCAACTTTGCAAATTCCCTTGGGCTGCTGAAACACATTAGTGCAAATGAGGTGGCTTAAAACAGCGAACATTTATTCTCTCACAGTTCTGGAGGCCAGATGTTCAAAATCAAGGTGCTGGCAGGGTCACTCTCTCTCTGAAGTTCCTAGGGGAGGCTCTTTCCTTACCTCTTCCTCGCTTCAGACAGCTGGCATCAGTCCTTAGCCTTCCTTGGCTTGTAGCAGCCTCATCCTAATTCACCATATTGGATTAGGACCCACCCCCAATGACCTCATCTTAACTTGATTCCATATGCAAAGACCCTATTTCCAAATAAGATCCCATGCTCACGTACCTTGGGTTATGACTTGAACATATCTTTTTGGGGAGACATAAGTCAACTCATAACACAAACTTTCCCCAACACGTTTCACCCCTGCCACCTTGACTTAAAAACCTTATTGTGCCTAATGTAATGTCCTTCTCTTTCCCGGACCTACTCTAAGGCTATTATTTTCTGCTTCATTGATCTAAAAGTCAAATCTCATATTTCTGTGTTTTAATTTTTGTACTTTTCTTTTTGATAGCATTTCTTATGATCGCAGAAGAGTTTCTTGATGTTTTCTACCAAAGACTTTCTGATCACATGTTTCTGGAAACTTTATTTCCTATCAGTTTATTCAGTGTGTATTTCATCATTACCTCTATAATGACCACTCCCCAGAGAATAGAAATTAATGCTCTGATCAGAGCTAGCTTAGCCTTCAGTGTTAACTCTGAAATAACAAATACGTTTATACTATCCACTCTTCCCTTCTATGTATTCAAGTTTTCTTTCATGAGTCAGCTTCAAGATACTCATTTACTGCTTGAAAAATTATTTCGAAATATTTGGTTATTGATATTGGAGCTATAATGAATAGTAGCTGGTGATCCATTGTGTCTTGAAATGCAATACGTTTAACACAAAGCAAAGGTCTTAATTTTGGTGCATATATCCAACAGAGAAACACTGTAGACTTTATATATATATATAAGTAATATATTTTTATATATAGCTAATATATTTATATATTTAGCTAATATATTTCTATGTATGTAACTAATTATACTATTGGGCTATCTATCAATCCATTATCTATTTATCTATCTATCCATCATCTATCTCTGTCAGTCATCTATCTGTTTCTATAGATATGCACACAAACACTACAGACAGACATACACACTTATACCTACATGAACATCTATTCGTGTGCATGCATTTGGTTTGAATATTATTTATATTTTTAAATATTTTATATTTTTATGTGTTTAAGACTATGCAAATTGGCTTTGCTTTTGCCAGGCTTAATTTTCCAAAGTATCTTTCGATTTAGTGACATATATTTCACAATACCTATATCTGGAAAATATTGTACTTTAAATTTGTGTCCCGCACATATGTGAGTTTCACTCACGATTTTTTTTTTCATTAATGTTGGAAAATTGAAGCCATTTTGCTAATCAATATATTTACCATGTAAATCCTGGGAAATCACATTTACATTGTTCTCTCTACAAGATGAGTTTATGAGGGTACTGGATTCTGACTTACCAGTTAGTCCCCAACCCCAACTAAGATCTTGGTGCTCAACAGACCTGCAATAAAGGTTGGCTATGTCACTAAAGAGTCTAAAGATATGATTTCTCTTTCTATCAAAAAGATATGTGGGCTGGGTGCAGTGACTCACACCTGTAATCCCAGCGCTTTGAGAGGCCAAGGCAGGCACATTTACCTGAGCCCAGGAGTTCAAGAGCAGCCTTGGCAACATGAAAAAACCTTGCCTCTATAAAAAACACAAAAATTAGCCGGGTGCAGTAGCATGTGTCTATAGTTCCAGGTACTCAAGAGGCTGAGGCAGAAGAATCGCTTGACCCCACAAAGCAGAGTTTGCAGTGAGCTGAGATCATGTCATTGCACTTCGGCCTGAGTGACAGAGGAAGGTCTTGCCTCAAAAAAAAAAAAAAA